AGGCAGGTCCCCTGGGGCCCCGCGATACAGACGGTCGTCTCTCACCTCAAATCGGGGTCCGTCCGGCTGGTTGGGCGGGTCCCCTCCCGGCTGCTCACTCGTGGTGCGCACCTGCTCCCAGTCTGCCCGTAAGGTGAGATCCTCGCGCTGCTGTGTGAGGAAGTCCCCTTCCTCTACATCGAGGTGGGCGGCGGCCGGTGTCCCTCCCGATGGGGCCGTCACTGGCATGGCCCCCTCCCCATCCTGCTCTCCTTGGGCTACTAGGGTCCCAGGCCCTGCTTCTGACTCCTGGCCGAGGGTCCTCCCGCCATCCCACTGCCCCAAGAGTCGTCTCAGGCTGGGCCAGTCCCGTCCCAGCAGGAGGGGGTATGCTAATTTAGGACCGACGGCAACTACGCATTCCCTTTCCAACTCCCCGTCCCCTATTCGTACCCGGGTCGTGGGATAGTAGTGAATGTCTCCGTGGACGCACCGGAGGGCTACGGGCACGCCCCGGGTTCGCACTGGATGTATCACGTCCCTTCGGACAATGGTTTGTCCACACCCTGAGTCAAGTATGGCCTCCACCGGGTTCCCATTAACCCACAGCCGTTTAATTACCTGAGCTGCGCTTGCCGCCCTCCCAGCCGCGCCCCCAGCGCGCCTCTGTCCAAAGGTGCAGTCCATCAGGGTGCAGTCCCTCTTGTAGTGACCCTCCTGGCTGCACTGATAACAGACCACCTTCGGGACCCCTTCGGGCGGAGGGGTGCCCGGCCCCGTCTCGGTTGCCTGATCCACCTTGGCTTCACCGACCGGCCGGTTCCACCGTGGTGCCAGCCTCCTCGTCGGAAGGGGGCCCAGGGAGCTCCCGGCTCCTTCCCCGGCACGCTGGGCTCCCGCAGGCTTAAACGCCCCGGCCTCACTCCTTCGGGGTTCTCTTGGGGGCCCCGTAGCTCCTTTCCCCTCCGGCCCCTCTGCGGCTAAGTAGTGTTCCATAAGGGTCACTGCTTCATCTAAGGTCTCCGGAAGATGCCGTCGTACCCACTGCTGCCCTTCCGCGGGGAGGATACGGACGTATTGTTCAAGTATCACTAGGTCAGCCACCTGGACCCCCGTCTTAGTCTCCAGCTCAAGCCATCTCATCCCCGCCTCCTTGACCCGCTGTGCCACAGCCCGTGGTCACTCGCGGGGGTCGTACTTGGCCTCTCTGAACCGCCGGCGGTGGGTCTCTGGAGTTACTCCTAGTTGGTCCAGAATTGCCTCTTTGACTTTGAAATAACATAAGGCATCGCTGGCAGACATCCCCCGGTAGGCCAGCTGGGCCGGCCCCGACAAGTAGGGACATAAGGCATCGCTGGCAGACATCCCTCGGTAGGCCAGATGGGCCGGCCCCGACAAGTAGGGCGCGAGGAGGGTAGCCCAATGTTCTGGTGGCCATTTCGCGGTGGTGGCCACCCTCTCGAACATCACCAGGAAAGCCTCTGGGTCGTCTTCCGGCCCCAATTTCGTTCATCAATTTTTTTTTCTGAAAGTCCTGCTCAGAGGGGGAAGGTTCATCCAAACCGTTCAGAAATGTTAACTATTAGTGTGTTCTTGAACACTAATAATAACACAAACTGGATACTTTTTAAACAGATTCTAAAGGTTTATTTTAAATTTTTTACTGTTATAACTTTACTATGTTAAAGTAAAATTAATAATCTGATTTAAAAAGAGAAAACTAAGGGAATTCTGAGCTAAAGTAGAGAGTTTTGATTTATAAGTGTATTATTATTTTTCTTTGTGTAGTAGTATTAAGATTCATGTCAGGTCTTTCTGTTACTAAATGGAAGTGTTTTATGTGATTGGGTACAGTCTATCAACACTGGCTGCTGATGGTTTGAGTGCACATATTTGACTAATTGCTGACAATTATTATAAAAATGATTGAATTACCTGGAAGAATATTTTTGGAATTATGTTCAGGTAACTTTTATACAGAGGCACTTGAAGTTGCATTGGCTGTAAACGGACATATGGAAACCAAAATATGCTTCATGCTGCACATCTGTACAATCTTTTATTCAAGCTGGTTAATGCTCTGTTCAGAAAAGCAATTTAAACCTAAATTATTTTTACTAGCACAAGGCTCTTTGATTAAGTCCTCAGAATGTTCTCTCCCCATTTTTTATTTTGGGAGAGGGGCTGCGGGGAGGGGGGGGAGAAGGTTGTACAACAGTGTCTGAGCTTTTAAAAATGTCATTGTTCCTAAATAATGCCAGTGAAAAAGTCAGCTACAGGTGATTTATTAATAAACTATTTCCTTAGTGACATAGTCACCAAAAAACTAGGCAGGAAAAGCACACACATTTAATAATTCCAGGTGAAAGCTTGACTTACATAAAAAAAAATATAGATGCAAGGAGCATTGGGAAAAAAAATCTTGTTAAGTCTGGCCTCTTCGGGTGGGGGCTACCCCGCCACATGGCCCCACAGAAGGCTGCCAATTCCCAGCCTTCACAGCTTGAGTGGATCTACTCCTGGGGAATGGGTAACCATTATCATTAACTGGCAGCTCAGCATGAGGCTGGAAGCAGCTGGGCTAGAGGAGCCCCTGCCAGTGACATGTGTGCGGCTCTAGCCCAGAGGGCTGAAGCAACCCTCCACTTCTCCCATTTAACCAGTTAATTCATTAAACAGGATTTTACATCCCTAGTTCAGCTCTCCTGCTTGAAAGCGGTGTGGCACTCTCTTGTGTGCCCACTATGCGACCACCTACACACCATCTAAACACACACCTGTGACTAAATACCACAATCTAGAGGTAAACTATTTTTTTCTCATCTATTATACCTAGCACAACTCAGGAGTTGCAAATTTCCCAGATGTCCATATAAAATTGAGCTGTATGAATAATTGATTTGGTTCACTGACAATTCTGAACCATACAGTTAAGTATCCTTTTGGTACAACCCAAAAACAACATTTTTCAAAATTTTCAGTGAATCAAAGTTAAAAAAAAGTTTTGAGTCAAATGAAACGTTGACCCAACTGAAACATTTCAATTTGATTTCAAGTTGTCTTTTACTTAAAAAAAATAAAATGGAAGGACATTTCTAAATTAAAAGTAATTTTGAATTAAAATAACTATCAGAACATTTCATTTAAAAAATGTCAAAAGAAACATTTTGGTTTATTTGGATTTTTGTTTGCCTTCTTTCAATATGAGATTTGGAGAAATCAACTTAAATTAGAGAAACATTTTGGTGTCACTTAAGCTACATTGTTTGCTGACAAGACGTTTTGGCCAAAAATTTGCTTGACTCTAATGATGAGTAATGTTTCTGGTTTTCTGATGATTTTTCATGCAGTATAACTGAAATATTGCCGTGTACCTGTTTACTCCTCTGAGCTCAAAAAAGAGTTGATCAGCTTAGTATAACTATTTTTATGTCCTTTTACAGGTGATGGGAGAATGAAGATAGATACTTCTATTTCCATTCTACTTCAGCTCTCTTCATTTCAGACCTAAGGCTTACATCATTCTGGATCACTCTGGTCTTTATTAACATTTAGATGCAATATTTATGACAGCCTACATTAAACCAAGAGTTCTGCTCACAGAATCCAGGAACGACTATACATCTCTGCCCATCTGTACTCCTACTTTAAGCAAAAGCAGACTCCCAGGATGGGAGTAAACATGCTAAGCAAAATATCTAAATGTGTGTGTGTATATATATATATATAACTCGAGCATAAGAGTTGACTTCAGTGGGATGACACAAATATTTAGTGTTATATATATGATGAATTGTGGCTTAAGTTCTTATACTCTTAAGGCTAGACATACTTCATCGCTGATCCTGCAATCATTACTTGGGCAAATCTCCCATCTGACATCATGAATCATTGATTCAAACTTCAGTGGAGGTTTTGCCTGAGCAAAGAGTTAAGGATCAGGTTCTGTTTATGCTGGTCTATCCAATACAGTAGGCAGTTTGCAAACTAGTCAAACTAAACATGATATCCTTCTGATAAGACAAGGCTGATCTGCCTAACACTTTTAAAAGTGCAATGTCTCCCTGCTCAAACCTGCAAGGTAATGAATGCTTCATGAAAGGTCCTGCAATGAGAACACTCATCACATTTCCTAAAGTGCACAATCAGAATATTACAGGCTATTAGAATAATACTGAAAAAGAAATGTAATTATTTTATACAGGAACAACCTCACGTCAAAAGTGAGAGAATAGCCAAAACCATTTCTTGTTACAGTTATTATCTAGCATAAACTCCCTAATTTCAGATTAGAGTGTATCTAATTGTAAGCATTATGACACACTATAATGAATAGATTTCTGATGATAAAGAGCATGAAATCCATTTTCTTACTTTCCAGAGCATGAAATAGGAAAAACATTCAATAAGTTGACAGGTGGGAATAAACAAAATCTGTTCACAGCCTTTCAAAGTCTTATATTTTAAGAAGGCAGTATTAGACACACTACTTGACAAATAAGTGTCTACTCATAGCAAATATACATTGTATTGAGCATGTGCTGAAAAGAACCAGAGCAGACTTACACATTTAAGTAACTTGGCTCAACAGCAAGCCTCCCTCAGACAGTTACAAGTGGATTCAAGCTTCGATATTGATAATGCCAGGTGTTGGTTGGGGAAAAGGAGGAAAAAATGATAGGAAATTAAAAAAAAAAATCCTATTTGTTCTCAAAATTTAAAGTTTGAAATTTCAAAATATTTCATGATTTCCCCCAAAAATGTTTTAAAAGATCTGCAGTATTGTGGTTCTTCTTAGGCTTAGAAGAACTGATTTTTTCAAATCAGTAAATATTCTAAACATTGATTTCACAAGAGACTGCAAACAGAAGAGCTTGAGCAAGAGTTTGTGGGAGGGATACTAGATATAATTGCTATGGTTAGGAAGGATTACATCATCAGTGACAATACTTCTCCTTTCTCTCTCACCTGCGCCTATATCCAGACAGAGAACCTAACTATGGATGCCTCTACCCAGGTCCTGGGATGGATTTGCAGAGACTGTGACCTGCAATTCCCACTCATAGAAAACCAGGGTGTGGTGCTCATCTAGTATGAAAGGTGTCTACTGGTGGAATCTCTCAGGAAGAAGGTAGAGAGCTACAGGAGGAGGTGGCTAGGCTGAGGAGAATCTGAGCATATGCAGAATTCCTTGAAAATATTGACATGGACACATCCAAAGCTGAGGAAGCCATCCAGTTACAGAGGGATGCTGTCACATCCCTGGGGGAGGTGGATATGGCTCTGTCACAGGGAAGACACTGATGGCTTCTGGGAGCAAGTAGTGTTCCATCCCTGGTCCCAACCCACCCACTATTGGGATGGAGAACCATTATGCTGCCATTGCAATGAGAAATCACTCCCAAAGGCAGAGGAAGAAAAGCCATGAAAACCTACCCCCAAGGCTGGCAGAATCACAGCCACCACTCCCAGAAGGAAATGTAAAGTAGTGGTGGTTGGTGACTCTAGTCTGAAGAGGATGGAGGTACCCATCTGTTGCCCTAATATGGCATCCCAGGAAGTATGTTGCCTACCAAGAAGTTATGGAAGGATTGTCAAGGATCATGCAGACCTCTGAGTACTACTCCATGCTACTTAGCCATGTGGGCACTAATGATACCGCAAGGTATGACCCTTAGCAAATGAGAAGTGACTACTGGGCTATAGGTGAAGGGTGAGGGATATGGGAGTGCAGATGGTATCAATGAGCCTGCTGGTCAAGGGTAGGGGTCCAAGCAGAAACAGATGCATCCCTGGAAGTAAATGCCTGTTTGTGAGGACAGTGTCACCAGGAGGGCTTCGGCTGTTCCAGAAGAAGGATTGCTAAGCAGAGATGGAATCCACCTAAATCTTGTCAGGAGAGCTTTAATGGTCCATCAAAGCCAATATCTTGTCTTCCAAATGTTAGCTTTTTTTTAAGTACAATTTTAGATTGCTTACGGTAATTAGAAGTATTATGGGGCAGATCTTTCTCTCTCATTCTTCAACAATTATGGAAATCCCTGAAGTCTATAAGAATTATCACAATAGTAGCTTCTCTGCATAGTAGAAAATATGTGCAGGATCAGCCCTAAAGTCTTGCTGTCTTTGCTCGAAACATGTAGCAATTTACTGAGCTATTAAAAATAAATTATATGATTTTGACAGTAATAAACATGAATTCCCACCTGTTAATAGACTTTTAAGTGGTTCTATAAAGATCCAACAATAAAATGTTGACTTTGAACCTTATTAGCCTTCTTGTATTTCTAACAATATCTTTAAAAGACTTCCTTATACAATGCCTTCCCTATTAGATGGGAAATTATATTACAGGTCATAGTGATACAAGCATTGGCATGACTGATCAGTGTTATAGACCAGTCAGTCTAATTGATATCTGGAAAGACACTAGGACAAATTATTAAACAATCAATTTATAAGCATCTACAGGATAATAGGGTTATAGAAATAATCAGCACAGTTTTGTCAGGAGCAAATCATGCCCAACAACCCTAATTTCCTTCTATAGCTATATATCTTCATGTTAGTAAGTCTTTTGATAAAATCCCACATGACATTTTTATAATCAAACTACGGAAATGTAGTCAAGATTAAGTTATCATAAGGTGGGTATACAACTGGTTGAAAAACCATACTCAGAGTTGTTATCAATGGTTCACAGTCAAACTGAGAGGGCATTTCTAGTGGGATCCTGCAGAGGTCAATCCTGGGTTTGGTACCATTCAAATTTTGATTTATGACCTGGATAATGGAGTGGAGATTATGCTTATCAATTGATTGGTGATCCAAGCCAGAAGGGGTTGCAAGCTCTTTAGAGGATGGGTTTAGAATTCAAAATTACTTTAATCTTTCAAAGACCTGGTCTGAAATCAACACGAATTAAGAAGTTAAAATTAAAGGCATAGCTGCAAACATAACCCTCGGATCCTTATCAGCAGTATTATCCCCTAATTGGCTAGCATCTGGGGGCTATAGTGGATCACAAATTGAATATTAGCCAACAATGTGATGTAGTTGGTAAAAAGGCTAATGTTATTCTGAGGTGTATTAACAGGAGTCCTACATGTAAGACTTAGGCAGTAACTGTCCCGATCCACTCAGCACTGGTGAGGCCTATGCTGGAATACTGTGTCCAGTTCTGGGCACCTTTCTTTAGGAAAGATCTGGATAAATTGGAAAGTCCTGAGGAGAGCTACAAAAATGATAAGACTTTAATAAACCTGTCCTATGAGGGAAGGTTGAAAAAATTAGGCATGTTTCATCTTGGCAAAAGAAGACTGAGTAAGGACATGATCATTGTGTATAAATATGTTAAGGGCTGTAATGAAGAGGACTGTGATCAATTGTTGAACAGGTCCCATAAAGGTAGAACAAGAAGTAAAGGGCTTAATCTGCAGCAAGAGAGATTTAGGTTAGAGATTAGAAAGAGTTTCCTATCTATAAGGTTAGTTAAACTCTGGAACAGACTTCCAAGGGAGGTTGTGGAATCCCCCTCAGTGGAGGTTTCTAAAACAAGTTAGACAAATGCCCATCAAAAATGAACTCTCAGGGCAGGGGGCTGAATTTGAAGCTCTTCCAAGGTCATTCCAGTGCTACATTTCCATTGTTTTGTGATTATGCTGAACAAGGATGGTGCAGAAGTCACAGGGACAGAGAAATTGAATGAATGGATAATTAAGACAAGGAACAAAGAGGAAGATTTGTATTTTTTCAACATGGTGTTAAGGGGGGGGGGGTCAAAGTAAATATATTAGAAATCTGCTAACTCTGTGGAACACTCAGCATTTGAGGATATAGGGATAGATTTGATTTATTTTTCCCTGATATATACACTAGTGAAACCAATGTTACACCTGTGATGAATTTAACTATTAGTATTGGCCATACTGCATCAGGCATTTGGCATATCAACTTCCAATACCCTGCCACTGGTCTTGATCAATACATTACTTTATTTAGAGGAAACTGGGATGGGAGGAGACAAACAAACCTGCAGTACAGATAGATATTTGTGCAGTGCTTTCCACTGGGAGACATTTTCCTTTGTGACCCACGCAATTACAAGGTTATGGTCTTCTGAAGCAGAATATTTTACTTCTTATTGCAATATGTATACCTGAAAATACTGTTGTTAGTCTGAAATATATCCAGTTCCTTAAGTCCTCCCTGCCAGGAGTTACAATGAGAGCTAGAACTGGGTACATTTCCACATTTCTGTTTTACATAATTTTTGTTGTGATTACATATAGATATGTATGCATTTTTCATGAATGGTATTTTAATGGAATATGCATCACAATTAATGTATTAATTCTGTCCCATCTCGTTCTAAATATTGTGACAATTTATTTCTTTGCAATTTTGTTTATAACACTGATCTGCTTTTTTCATTCTTGTATAGATTATACAGAAGAACAGATTAGAGCCAACATACTACAGGCTGCAGATTTCAAAACCAGCACTCTCTGGTCCAACATCCGTGGTCTGGCAGGACCACAGATACTCCTGGACCAGACAGCCTGCAAGCCTAAGGGCAGAAGAGTCAGCAGCCCCACAGCAGTGATGAGGCCGGGGTCAGAGAATTCTGACATCCCTCAGCAGTGTTGAGTCGGGGGCTGGGGAACCCCAGGCGCCTATGGCAGCATGGGGGCTGGGGACCATAGAAGACCAGATGCCCATGAAAGCATGGGGCCATAGAAGCTTGGCTGCCCATGGCAGCACAGAGCCAAAGAACCCTGACAGCCCGTGGCAGTGCAGGGTTAGGGGCTGGAGAAGCCTAGTCACCTGCAGCAGCAAGGGGCTGGGGAAATTTGGCCACATGAAGCAGCTTGGGCCAGGACTGAAGAACCCCTGATGCCCATTTCTGCTGCTGGCTCCAGCCCCAGGCTGCCAAGTATGCAGCCCAGCTGGGGAGGAGATAAAAGGGGCCAGAGGCAGGGGTCTCGCAGTCTCGGGCCTTGGCAGAGTACACGTCCCCTGGTCCAGCAAATTGTCGTTTGAGACCAGTCAGGTCTCCACAGTGCCGGACCAGGGAGGTCCAACCTGTATCTATTTCATTTATACAGTTGTTTGAAAAAATACTATCACATCAAAACTTGTCAGCTTGAACGGAACGAGACAGGATGTTATAAACAAATGGAATAGTTAACTATTTATGTTCAAATATTACTGCTCAGCAAGTTACTTACCTTATGTTTACAAGACTCAGTGTGGAGATGTCATTTTAAATTATAGTTTATGTTGCAATATCTCTCTCAGTGAATGAAATTCATATAAAAAAGATGCAAAGTGAAAGTCTTATAAAAGTTCCTGTACAGATTTTAGTGAAGAGCAAATATAATACCTTGCAATTTAGCACATGTTTTTAAACACACACACACACACACACACACACACACACACACACACACGCACGCACGCACACTCCTACCAGCGCTTTCAGATAAGACTTAAGATTAGCGCAAAGCAATTCCAATTTATTCTAAGAGGGGCCAATCAAGCTCTTATTAAAATAAATAGCATAACTTCCATTGACTTCAGCCATGCAGATTCAAAACTTAATACAACAACTGAGAGACTGGTTCTGAGAGGCACCAAGCACCAGTAATTCCTATTGCACAGCAATTTTTAGGATCAGTCCTTTAGCCTTACAAGCATAAAAGAGATCCTGTTTGTTTAAAAACAACAGCCAACACCACTCTCTCTCTCTCTCTCACTCATACAAACAGGCCTGAATCATAGAATACTAGACTTGAAGGGACCTTAAGAGATCATCAAGTCCAGTCCCCTGCCCTCACGGCAAGACCAAGCACCATCTAGACCATCCCTGATAGATGTCGGTCTAATGTTAATACAGGTTGATCCTCCCTGGTTTGGTACCCTGGGGACCTGACTGATCCTGGATAAGGGATATTGCCAGACGAGGGGAGGTCATTTGTGGACCCTGCCCAGTCCCCTGGCCTCCCAAACATCTCCTCACCTCCTGCTGGCCCCAGTAGGCAGCCATCGCTGCCCTGACTCTGGGACCCACTGGGCAGCCATGTGCACCGTGCTGGGGCTCCGGGGACCCCCCGGAAAGTGCAGCCATATGCCACACTGTGGCTCCAGAGACCTGCTGGACACGGCAGCTGCAGATCCCTGCCCCACCGAACTACCACATCTCCCAGCCCCACAGGGATCCTTGCCACTGGCCCTCCACTAGGACTCTCAGGTCCTGCAACATCCGTGCCAGACCATGGATGTTGCCAGACCAGAGAATCCCAGTTAGGAGAGCTTCAACCTGTATCATGGAACAAACTAATTATTTCAACAGCGCAAATAGAGCTGAAGTAAATGTTGCTGTGAATTTTAACAATACTGTATGTGCTTCAGTTTCTGAAAAATGTATCAATCCTATTATGTATTTGTATTTGTTATAAATTGTGATGAAACTGCAAAATGAGCGTCAATTGTTTTGTCATGTCCTCAAAAAACAAAAATGTTGTGTTATATTCTTTTTTCATAACTTACCATTTCCTAGGGGGGCCTTCAACTAGCTCTGGTAATTCTAATGCATCAAACTAAGCTGATCTGAGAGAACCGTTTGCATGGTCTGAGACTGGATTTGTGGAAACCTACATATTTATTTGGACGATTCAAGGACTCGCGCTGTGGAAAGACTCTGATTTCATCTTCCACACAGCTTAGTATTGATTTCATTCTATTACTACAAGAGGGTCATAAGGAAGTTATTAAAAAAAATCCAGAAATTCTTCAGTGCTGATGTGGAAAAAATGTTCTGCTCATTTGTGTTGTCATTCTAATGAATTTGTTCAAAAGAAATCTTCTATTCTTCAAAATGTGCCATTGTAATGATTCCTTGTGACAGGAATTTTTTGTTGGGACTCTAATAAAGTGTCAAAATAACTAATTACTCTGCAGTTTTAATTTGTAAAATATAAATGAAATCATATGTTTTATTTACTCTTCGATAGCATAGAATGATAGTTCATCTACACTCATCACATATGAGAATTGTGAAGAAAAGAAAGGTGATTCCCAGCTTGCTACAGGGGTACCAGGTGATTTTAAACAGATGCAAGATTTAGAAGCAGTGATATCTGTGATACGAAACCCTGGAAAAGTTCAATGCAGAAAACAAGCCACACATTGATATGCATATATAAATTTTATATTTTTAGAATCATTCATTACAACTGATTAAATACCAGAAAAAATGGATCAGTAGAATATACGATTCCATAAAATGCTAAATGTGTCTAGTAACATGTTCAATTAATAGTTTTCAACCAGTTTTACTGATTATGGAGCACAGCTGGGGTGCCTGGAACTGTACAGACATATAGAAAAGTCAGCTGCCTATCAAAAGAAGTTAAGACTACTAGCAGCACAGAAAGCTATGCACACATTCTAAACCTTAACATAACAGGGGCCTATTGGTGCCAATGATACAAATAGTCATGTGAATAGTCCCATTCAACTGACTACAGTAAAGTTACTCTTGTTCATTAATGTTTCCTGGGTCAAACCCTGAATTAGAAATAATATTATTCTTTGTGTTGAGTATTGATGATGGATTTGTGCTAAGTATAGAGCAAGACACAACTTCTGCCTTCAGATGTATTTTGCTAGAACAGAAGAACAGCCACACTATATCAGCTTACCTCCTTCATAGGGTTCCTGCCCATCATCTCTTCTGTGCCCACTATCTTGCTTACTAGATGGAACCATTTTGTTTTCCTTGGCCACCTCTTTATATTTGTCTGCCGGTGCCAGATTCATCTTCTCAAGGTCTGCTGTTCCTTGCTTGATCTGTCCCACATTTTCAGCCAGTTCTTTCACCCCCTGCAAACATGCCTTTTTTATTCCCTGGAACTCAGAAGCCTTCAGTCTGTTATTTATCCCATGCCAACACTCATCTGATTCTGCAGGTTGTAGGGTTGCCTGATGTCCTGGCCAATGGCTGTTCTCTGAGCTCCCAAGTCCTTTCAACCAACTTTCTCTCCATCTCAAATACTTCCCATCAAGGAACCCCACAGTCCCTCACCAGGTTCTTCTTCACTGAAGTTCTGACTCAGTTCCTGAAGCATCTGAGATGCAACCCCCATGTTCTCTTCCCTCAGGACAGAGACTGGAGGTTGAATTTGAGGGATTTAAAGCCCTATGATTGCCTTCTCATTGATATTTCATGGGTCTCAGTTCTACTTTCTTATCTAGTCTAGGTTTGCCAATGACTAGGAAGTCTGGGTCTATAATAGTACCTGTACTGCCTTCCCGAGTTTAAAGTTTTTTTTATCAGGGCAATACCATATTATGTGGCCCATTTTCCCACAATGGAAACAAATGATCTTTGGGGTAGCCTTCCAGGCCCTAAACTGAGTCCCAGCAGTTCTCTGTTCTGCACTCTCTATAGCCTGGACCTCAGCCACTCATGGCCAGGTGTCTCAGTCAGCTTGGCCTTTTACTGGTCTTGGTGAGGCCCAAAGCAACAGGTCTGGCCTTACAGCCCTGGCTTGTCTCAGAGTAAATTCATCTCACCTGCCCCACTTGCTTGCAGCTCCACAGTAGGGGGGTTCTCCCCCCCTTTCCCTTTGCGCCATTTGGGTGGATGCTGTCACGATTAATTTTTTTAAGTATTCAACAGCTCTATTTTTAGACAATCTTTCTATTAAGCGGCCACTGTTCTTGTCTGTCTGTCATGGGATTTTCAACTTGCCACTCCTGAAAGCGCACCAAAAGACTAAAAAATAATTTTAAAACTGCACCAAAAAGTCAAAAATAAAGTTTTAAGCTAGCAATTTAGGAGAAAGATTGAATGGCTAAGTATGATTCAAGCTAGTTGCTAACTGTTAGCCATCCAATTTTTCTCCTAAATTGCTAGCTTTACACTTTATTTTTGAATTTTTAGTCTTTTGGTGTGCTTTTAGAAAGATTGTTTTTAAAAAGTTTTTAAATTTGTTATTATTTATTTATTAAAATGCAGTTTTAAAAAGTATCAATACCAACCATGCTATCACAAAATAGTGGCCATATGTGGTAGAGGGAAAAGGATAAAGCTTTCAGTTCTCATATTCCTTTCAAGCCTCTCAAATGGACTGGGACACCCTGTAGTTTAACAAGCTAACATCTTAACTTGCATGTTTCAAGACATGCTGCATCAAGACATGATAATGAAGCAACTAGCTGTTACAGAGCAATGCCATTGCTGGACTTCGAGAGAAATTTCCAACTGGAATGACCTTTTGGGTTTCCTCAGTCAACTTACAGCCCTGTGTCACACTTCTGTGAGATTCTTGCTGGGGTGAAGTGAAACTGGTGAAAATATATCCAGAGATAACCAGCCTGATTTTTTGTCTAGTTCACTGTGCGTACCTGCAGAGCCCATAAAATTCAAATTTTTCATTTGACACTGAAGGAGATTGAA